GCGCACGAGAGAGAGAGAGAGGGAGAGAGAGAGAGAGAGAGAGAGAGAGAGAGAGAGAGGCGGGGAGGGGGAGCACCGTGGAACATGTGGAACATCCAGAGCTTCTTCGGAAAGCTCCTGGGTCTTTACATAAGATAAAAAAGATATTTTGGAAGGCTGAAATCTTGCTTATCAATTAGAGGAGCAGCATTTAAATTCGGAGACGCCTTATTTGAAAATCCCAGGTTAAACACAGTGAAAATTCTTAAACCTTACACACAGGAACGACAGGTTATTGTTAGAACCCAAGAGGAGAACGAAAGAATGAAAAGGAAAAGCGGAGGCTTCCGTGCTCTGCTACCTTTGACAATGCCGCTGAATTGGTTCAGTATTTTAGAGCAGCCAAGAGGACCCTGAGGATCCAGTTCGCGTGAGCGACAGTCAGTGCGGCCTCAGCTGGCTGTATTCCCAGGGCAGAGCACGCCAGCCGCCACTGTCCAGGCTCCCGCAGGCGGCGGGAAGCTCTTAGGCACAAAGGGTAGGGGAAAAGGAACGCATGAAGTCAGCGGGAGGGCTGGACCCCTCCCAACCCCTGGCTAGAGTTTTCAGCTCTTTTCACCATTTCACCTTCCCCAGCCATCAGCTGCACTTGGCCTCCCCGCTCCGGTTCCCTACAGACCCGCACGTCTGCCCACGTCCCCGCTCTGAGCATACGGGCGGATTTGGGTGGGTTGTCCCGAAGGTGGTCACAGAGGGCTCCCTGCGCACACAGGGCAGGGGGTGCAGACGCAAGTGGAGTGAAATGGAGACTGAGTTCCTCGGCACTGAAAGTACTGGAAAATCGCTTGAAATCAGGTCCACGAGGACCCTAGAAGCTACGTGTAGGACAGATGTAAAGACGTACTAGGGAGGGGGATTCCCTTTCCCAAACAACCTGCTCAGCATCAAACTTGTATGGTGCAGATTTCTGCACCAGGAGATTGTTGATAGACTTGAGAGGAAATTTGAGGACTGGTGAGGGGGACGGGGTGGGGATGTGGACTGGCGACACGAATGCCTCTGGGGTAGTGGAACGGGGCCGGAGTCTGCTCCTGGCCTCCCTCTCCAAACAAATTCTCATTCTCCTTTTCCTCCGATTCTGGCGGTAAAGCGGACGTGGTAGATGCCACGCTTTCCTCCCACGTCTCCACCAAGACGCCGAGGGTGCTGGGACTGGTCTCGAACAGTCTTTTCCGGGTGGGCCGGTCCTGGCCCGCGGAGGCGGCGCGCTCTGCACGGTGCGAGCGGGGCAGGCGGGAGCGAGCGCGGCAGAAGGAGGCGGAGGAGGTCTCAGCCAGCGGAGCTCCAGGTGGCGCCTCTGAAGATGACGCCGAGGAGCTGCGAATCGCTACAGAAAGAAAACCGAACAGGCAGCCTTTACTCACAGAAGAAGGACCTGGACTCATTGCCTGAAGCAGTGGCGGCGGCGGAGACTGCAATGTCTTCATTTCCCTGGGTGGCTGCTGCGTGCTCCGGGGCTCCGGCTGCGAGAGGCCGGGTCAGTATGGGACTCAGTTCAGGCCGCGGACGCTGTGTGGAGCTGCACACGAAGAAATGTTCGCAGCCGGGAGCCAGCTATCAAGTTTCTCCAACAGGTCCTTCGAGCAGGAGGGGCAACATTAAAGCAATGTGTGTGAGTCTGGTGAAGCCATCTGACCTCACCGAGATGTCTAAGGAGACTCTCCGTTTCTGGAGGCCAATTTCGAGGGAAACGTTTTGTTTTCCCGTTCATGTGAGCATAGACAGATTACTGAAGACTGTAGTAAATGAAGATCCACTTTTCCTCGGAGGAACCGGACAAGCACGTGTTTCCTGTACCTGCCAGACCAAGTGCATGTTATCTGTACAAATAAGCTTCAGAAAACACTGAGATTTTGTTAGAGGAGGAAAACAAGTCTCTTTGTTTGGGGACTACATTCTTTTGCTACCATCATTGTCTGTCAGTAAAGAGGGTTTTCTCTGCTGTATTTAATTCTATGATTTGCGTTACTTTAATTGATTGTTTAAATTATTTTCCCTGGACATGTAGGGATATGAATAATCACAGAAAATTAACACACCAAATAAAAGAAAATCATTTAAATGAGGCACACAGTGCAAAGATGTTGCTAATTAAAAACATATGCACTCGATTATTCAGACTTAGGGGAACAGATTTTCCCTTCTTTCTGAGCACTGATTGACACTAATGTGGAGTCTCTCTCCCTTTCAAATTTTCTCTCCTCCTCCCTCTCTCCTGCCAGTAAAAGGAAAAAGAAACACTTGATTAATTTGAGCTGTCAGAGCTAACAGATTATGTTAGTTTGATGTCTTTTCTTGAAGAAGCAAAATCCACTCCATATTTCTCATCAAGTTGTGCAACCAGTTATGGAAATTAAGATGATGAACATCAAACTCAGTCTAACATCTGATGCTATGAATGAATATAAATGAAGTACAAGAAAAAAATGTGACAGATAAATAGAGATGAATTGAAGTATCTTAAGAACATTTTCTTTGCTATTTGTAAAATAACCATTTTAAATATTTTATTCTTAATTCAAATCATCACTATTTTAAAAATGTAAACAGTAAAATGTGGATGTGGATTATTTAAAGAATACAAGAAACATTCACAAGAAAATATAATAACTTGTGTTACCACAGCTCTTTAAATCCCTCTCAATTTTTAAAACCGAGGCTTTTCTATTGAGAGTGGAATTGTAGTCAGAAAATCTTAAGAAGCTGGACACCACTAACCACAAATCTCTATGAAACCTATGAGGGAGATTTCGCTTTACACAGTAGCTTCTTAAACATATTCTCTTACCCGCTGCCTAAAGAACTCTTGAGTATGGTCTCAACTGACAAAGAAATGGAAAAAATACTTAACATTTTTGGCCTACTTTTTCACTTTGACATGGGAGTAATGGCTGGGCAGATTGGTGCACGCCTATAATCCCAGAACTTGGGAGGCTGAGCCAGGAAGATCACAGTGGATTTAAGGCTAGCCTGAACTATATAAATAAGATTATGTTTCAAAAAATCAAAATAAATACACAAATGAGGTACAGATAATGCAACTTGTTGGTTTTGTTGTTGTTGTTGTTGTTGTTGTTGTTGTTGTTTTGGTATTGGGTATTGAACTCATGTCCTCACTCTTGCGAGGCAGGTGGCAGAATCACTGAGCCAATCCCCAGTCTGTGCAACTTGTTTAATAGAGCTAGCGTGCAACACCAGGATCCAGTGCACAGAATTCTCCTCAAAGGACCTGAGGCTCATACAACATCTCTCCTTACCATTCTGACAGGAAGAGTGCTAGAGATTATCTATCATGTTCATCAACATCAAGCAGAAAAAATTGCTTTATGCAGAACACAACAGTGTGAATAGTGTTTCTCCACAAGTATATAGAAATTCCATACTCAGGAATCCAGTACTATGGAAATGTCTTCACAACACTTAAGGTCTCCCATTTACAAAGAATTGCTCACCACTGACAACACAACACAAAAAAACAAAACAATGCTTAGGCATCTGCTCTCAATTTTACTTAGATATCTCCAATATTTTTTATGTTGCTTAATAGTATACTCCCCTTCTAATAAACAGTTATATAAATATATACTTCAGTAGTTAATAGTTTCCTTCTATAAACCAAAATAGGACTCTGTACCTACCTGTGTGTGTGCATAGGCATGTATATGTGTGTATATAAGCATGTGCTATGCATGTGTGTGCATAAATATGTGGCTACATATAAACAAAAATAAATACTGCATAAACACTTCCAGCTTGTGGCCAATTACTGACAGAAGAAAGCCTTAATAAATATTTACTATACATTGCAAAAGTACCTGGAAAAACACTTCAGCAAAACTCTTCTTCTGACCATTGTCTCCATCAAATGAATGAACTGCTGCATAACTTTTTGAAGCTCACAATCACTGAGCCATCTTAACATATATTGCCATGCGAGAGGGCATTGGAAGGGCTGGTGATGCAGGCCATAAATGAATTTACCGATGAACAAGGGATTATAGAAAAGTCAACTGCTTATTTAGATCACTGAGTCAAGAGAGACATGGGATGAATTTCCAAAAGAGAATTGTTAGTCAGGGTGAAAGATTGGAATTTTTATAAGGGAACAAAGACATGGGAAAGGATTGGAGTTGGCAAATTTAGATATCTTAGAAGTACATTTTGTAGGGCATTCTGCTTTTGTCAATCTTTCAGGAACATCTGTATTGTAACTAAACTAATACATCAAAGTTACAAATTGTCAAAATCTGTTTGCCTCAAAATAGGCTGTTTAGATTTACATAAGGATTTAGGTCTATTTTAACCTTTTTGCCAAATATATAATATTAGCTCAGGGGAGGGAACAATAGATTTTGTATTTACTTTTATTTAATACTATTTTTAGTCCTCATTAGTGCAGTGATCCATGCAGTCCAAACTGTGCTGAGAAGAAATATGTTACTAAAGAAGAGTTGGTACTGAGAACTTTAACCTTTCTCACCATATTTATGTTTCCTCACCCATCATCTCCATAGACTACACTAGGGTAGCTATTTCAGCTCCTGAAACAGATCCTGAACCCATCCATTTCCTCTGATGTGAATGTTTTACTCTAAGCTGTTAAAATTTCTTGTCTGTACTAATCTAGTGGTCTACTAATTCACTTAACTGTACTCCATTTCCCCTCTAGGGCAGCAGTAGGTAAGGATTTTTTAGGGCCTGAACCATGTCGTGCTTTTGCTTAACCCTTTCAGGATTTCCATGATGCACTTTGGGCAGCATCTGGTTTTGCCTTT